GCTAGGACTTGGGAAGGTTGGTTTCCCATAGCTTCTAAGGTAGTCCCACCCTATGACCCAAGGCAGTATTCCCAGAGGTCCTCAGTTACCACCACCCTGGGGCTGCCTCCTCCTGCCTCCACGTTCAACTGATAAATGCCATCTCCCCAGGGAGATTCTGCAAAAACTGGGGCCTAGAAGAACCAGTTTTTGTCAGGCTTCTCCTTGGAGCTTCAGAAGTTAGAAGACAAACGAGAGCTGTATGTGCTAGGCCAAGCCCAGTGGGGAGAAGGAAAGAACATGTGCTGTGGATGTGCTTTTGGCCTGTGTGGGTGCGCTGGTACGTATGTATATACAGCATGTTCCCAAAGAAGGGCTGTTCAGGATTTCGCCTTTTTGGGCTGCCTCCAGCCCACAGGAGCTGTAGAACGGGGTGTGTCAGGCTGGGACAGCTTCTGAAGCAGCTTCTTTTCTGTGGCCCCTGAAAGGTGACAGTGATGGGTGAAAGCTGACCTGTCTTGGGAAAGGAAAGGCCTCCCGTGTATTTTCACTTGGGGTTTGACTGATGCACACGGCACACTGCAGACTGCATAATTTAAAACAAAGATTACACTTGTTAAAAAGTTACAGAAAAATCGTATTGCTTAAAATGTGAAAAGTGTGTTTTTATACTATGGTTGACTATTTAAAAAATAACTACCTATGTCTCACTATTCCTTATAAACACAGTACATTCAATGTTATCTTCTCCACCGTGAGAGGCACGTGGACAGAAGACAGCCAGCACCACTCAGGCTGGCAGCCAGCGCAGGACCAGGCCACAGATGTTCTGACATTGTGGAAACGCAGTGGAGCTGCAGCTTATTCAGGTTATGTAGGTCAGCCCCAAGGTGGAAATACACTGCATTCAAAATCATCCTTTAAAATTCCCCGAAGTTATCCATAAAGTACACACGCAGTGACGTCTGAGACATAAGGACTGTGCTCACTAAGTCACTGAGTTAATTAAAAGTGGAAACCAGAACCTTTCCACTTAGGTGGCCGCGCTTTCAACCACTGCTCCTAGGGCGAGTCTCAGGGGAGGAGAAAGAGAATTCTACAGGGCCTGTTTCCCTGCAGCCTCACTCCATTCTGCCTCAGTGGAAAGCAAGGAACACGACTCAATAGCAATAATAGCAATGCCCCCCCCCGCCCCCCACTTTGTTCTGTTTGACAAGAGTCTTAGTATACAGTTCAGGCTGGCTGTGAACTTACTACACAGCCCAGGCTGGCACGAATCTTGCAATCCTTTTTTACCTTGGCTAACTGCTAGGATTACAGGTGTGTTCCATGACACCAAGGAAAGAGAAGTGGCTTATTGTTGGTGGTTGTTGTGAGGATTCTACCCAACCGTGAAGCTACAGCAGCAGCGGGCGAGAGGGCCCAGACTCAAGGTAGTTCAGGAGCCCAAGAAGACTGAAGTCACTGACTACTCATATACGGTACGAAAGGGAAAGGACACATTTGGGAGAGAAAGTGATACACACATAGAGAGGGAACTTGAGGTGTCCACAGGGCTTTGCAACAGAGACTCGCAAAGGTCCAGGGTCAGAAGAGCAATCTGGGCTGCTGGTGGAGACAGTGGAGAATGTGGTATATGCAGGGGAAAAGGGAGATAAAAAAAGCTCAAAACCAACAACAAAGGCGCACACCCAGGAGGACGGAACAGAAAATGGCTTAGCCAGGAACAGTCCGAATGGCTATTTATGCATCCTTAGGTTTTCAGCTTCAGGACTTAATTTTTTCTGAGAGGTCACCCTTCACTGCCTCGGTTTATGTTAGGTAGCACTCTTCGTACCCCCACATCCACTGGGGCTTGTCCCCATGACGGTACTGAGCACATCATACGTAAGATGCTTAGACAGAGAAAGAAATATGCTTTGGCTATCATGGAACTCCTGGGTCTAGCACAGGGCCAGTTAGGTCCATTAAAAAAATTTCTTTTTGTTGAGTAAACGTTTATCCTTGATAACATTTATTATCTTTCCTGTGCATGCAAGGTGCCATTCCCTCAGTGATTCCAAAATGTGACTCTAAGGGAAGAAAAACTATGTCATTTACCTGTTTGTAAATCTGGCAAATGTTGTACTTTCCCACAGCAGCATTCTCCATGAAAGTGTGCTGATGGTGACAGTGTGAATGACAGATCTGCCGCTGCCTTCCACTGAGCAGGTTCTGCCCCCTGGCTGACCCGTGATCCTGCCTGAGTTCTCTTCTCGGCCAAGGGTTCTCTTTTTAAAGAATAGTAACTTGGATTTTTTCATGTTACTGTCTGGTAAGTACTGCAATATTTACATTTTAAAGCAAATTTTGGAAACAGACCGAAGTTCAACAAACTCTAATTTTTAACCTCTTCTCTAGCGACCTACTTTCATTTACACAGTTTTCCTGATCTTTCTGTTATCTTCATAGCAATGTTATGAAATGAACAAGTTAGGATATAACATCCCAGGTCACACGTGAGGAAGTGACAGTGTGGGAAGATTAAATAAATGACTTGGCAAGCTTAGAATCAGATAGCCAATGATTACCAAATGAAGAATACCTGAAGATCAAGCTGTTTTCTAACATACAAAATTGTAAACATTGCTGGTTAGCTTGTTCTGGCCGGCAAGTTAACACTGGATTACACTGAGTGACACTTTCAAAGTCGGTGAACATAATCTAACATTTCCCTTCACTCTATGGCTCTGAATTTACAGATTCAACTTGTAAAGTGGGCTCACCTTTCAGTGCCCGTTTCTGACATGTGCCAAAGAAAGCTCGATATGCAGCTCCCTGTTCACAGCAAAAATTATGGCTATGACATATTTGCAAGAAATAGCCTAACAAGCTGGTTGACTATACCTTTGCTGAATCATAAGAAAAATTAATTTGAGTACTTCACATTGAGCACCACTTAACAAAAAGCTATTTTTAAGGGGTCTATATTACATTGCATATCCAATGAAGTGATTTAGATATGTTATATTTCCATTTATGTGCTTTTTTTCTCTTCTAGGCAAAATACGCAATACGAATTCCTATAAAATAGCCTTAGAAACAAATTCTGTAAGTATCCTAATTATAACTATCATTCACTGTACGTAGGCTGCCATACAGTTATCTGGAGATGTCAAAAGTGACAGAGGACACTCTCAGCGGTTCGCCTATGACAATGGGTGCAAATGTGACCACACTGGGTAAAACCACACAAACGTTAGCCCGCTTTACAATCAGATCTGATGCCAGAGAAGACAATCTCTTCAATCTACTCATGACCTGATACACACAGAATGCCGGTGCCTTCTCTCCTCCTGTTGTTGTCTCAGTTTAACCGAGTTGGACAGGCACCCTTGGGCTACAATTTCTGCCCAAAAGCTGCTTCAAAGCTCTGCATGCTAAATGGTTCTTTTCATAAAATCTTTTCCTGGCATTCTGTCTCTAGCTTGCACCCTGGCATACTTCAGAAACCTGTTGTTTGCCTTCTTTACAGAAGAGGCTGAGGGTATTTTTCTAACATCAACACTAAGGGTTCTTTCTTATTTATCAAGAACCAAGGAAGAAGTTTGATTTTCCTAGAATGGAGTTTTCTTCTCAGGGACAAAGAGACTTTCAGAGACTAGTAGGGATAGCTGTCAGGAACACAGGGTGATTTGGGTTCTGTCATTTCCAGTAACTGGAGCCTCAGTTTCCCCATCTGAGTACTGGGGGGAATTAAACTGGGGGGAAATAATACACAAAATGCTTACATGACTCTGATGTAACTGTAATATCAGAAAACACAGAAATAAAAGTTTCACCTTATTAACTATGTATGTGAATTTGATACTTTTCTTACTATGTATTTTATATTCTATTTTCCACAACTCTGATTTTTATTTCTCTATTTTACTAGATACTCTGAGGATGCCTCTAATCCAGTGGTGGTAAACCTGTGGCATGTGTTATTGTTTTTTTTTTTTTTTCTTTTCACAAAGGATTTTCTTCTAAACTAAAACCTCCGTAGTCAGGGTTAACTCTGCCAGTACTTTGCGATAAGTAAGTGGGTTTTGGGCTGCAATTTGGACACTCCACTCTCAAATGCTCGCCATCACTTCTCTAATCCTTTCTGAAATAAATAGGAAATTAAACAAACAAACAAAAAGCGTTCTCTTTCACATCAGTTCTATGAGAGGGTCCCTGATTTAGAAGGATCAGTATAAACGACACAGCCCTTTTCATTCTTCTAGGACTGTGATGTGTATGAGATTCAAAAAACATTTTAAAACGCTGGTTTAGAGGCCTCCAGGAAGAAAATATTTAATTATTAACCATTAGCGGTATTAAAATATTTATATGCCTCTTAGTTCTACTTAATTGAATTTTGTGGAAAGGAGCATGATGTAGGCAGTACTCTGGCACATAACGACGTTATTGGCTTTTCTGAAAAAAATAAGGCTTCAGACACATCCTTCTTCTCAGATCCTACACCAATGATGGTGAATCTTTAAGAGACTGAGTGTTGTACCGCGACCTAAAACCCACTTGTTTATCCCAAAGTGCCAACACTGCAATTGAACCTGAACACTGAGGTTTTAGTTTAGAAAAAACTCGTACATGAACATCTTTTGTCTTAAAAGAAAAATACAGTAACATGCATGCTGCAGATGTGCCAACACTGCCCTAAGTGTATGGATCTGAAACATCACTTGTGTTAACTCAACGTTTTTATCTTTAGTCACTATGCAAGAAACAAAGACCATGTCTCAAACCTGAATAAAATAATTGTGCTATATATAACTTATTCCCACAAAACACATGCACACGCACTCCTACAGACCCTGCTCAATCTCACATACTTTGTCGTGCCTTTGTGACAGTGTAAGGCACAGAACCAGGCTAATTGTCCTTCTGCAAATATATTAGCTTCACCACTGAGGACAAGGTACGGGAAATGCTTCCTGATGACAAAGAAAATGAATGTTCTAGGATGTAGAAGAGAATTATATTCATGATTTTACCTGATCTGTCCACGGACCAGAGGTCTGTTTTTTGTTCTATTCATGTTTGAGTCAAATGGCACCTCAAAAAACTGTAAAAAAAAAAAATGAAGACATAAAAAATTATCATAGGAAATAATTATTTTCTTCTATTTCAGCATGAAAAAGCTCTTCACGGTACATCTTGCTTTAATTTTGATGGCGTGAATTTACACCTTGGCATGTTCTAAAAACAAAGTTCTCTGGAGAAGATAAATTTTAAAAACCAATGTGCATTAATTGTCAGGAGTATCTTTTTGCATTCACTTTGAAAGCCACTTGTAAAACGCACAATCTTCAAAGCTATAATTTCAGGTAAAACAGAAATGTTGTAAATGATTTCAGAATCCGCAATACAGCCTGAAGCCTGTGAATCAATCAGGAACCACTAGGCTACAGAAGTAGGCTACATACTTCGGAACTGCACAACTGTTGAAGCCAGACTGTAACTAGAGTCACCAGCCTGGGTTGCTAGTTTCTACCTGTAGTGTTAGCACCATTAGTGACATCATCTGTTACTCACAAAGCGTCCCACCTTGAACAAGAGATTGGCATGCTCACTCTAACAACGAAATAACAGATTTTACCGTTTACCTATTAACAGACAAAGCTCAGCGGATTATCAAACATTTTTTCAAAGCCTTCATAAACCGTACATCGTCACCTCCCATTTGTTATCAAGGTCATCTTCCTCCTCTTTTCATTTAACAGAGTATGATAAAAAATCTGATACGGTTATGAGAATACCTCTGACCAAATATGCTTGAGGCAAATCAGTAGACATAACAATAATTCAATACAAGGTTTAAGACAGTTATTTCCCCAGCTATGTTCTGGACTAGCCCCTGGAGTTGCTCACAGAAAGAATCTGATAGTCAAATCACATTAGTACCATGAGGGTTCTGAGAAATCCCAAAGTGAAGAAATCTAATTAATGTTGCTTAGCCAGTGTTTCTCCAGCTTATTTGACCATGAAATCCTCTTTTCAGAAAAACATGTTTAACAGATTTCGGACATGTCTATCCTGAGTATATTCAAGAGCTAAGAATCATTTCTTACTTGTATGTGCACAAGTCATAGCTTTTTGTACTGTGCTCTGTACTTAGTATGAGTTTTAATCTATTAATGTTAAAAAGGACTACTAGAGGCATAGTCTAGAAGTAAGTAATACTTGATTCCATTACATTGTTATAAATTATTTAGTCCTATCCACTAGTGAGTAAATGTTTAAAATTAAAGACGCTTATCCTACTATGCCGGGATATTTGGGAAGTTGTGTTCTCACAAATTTTCTACAAAAAGTGACATATGGAACCTTTAGCCTCATACTATAAAACTGTCTTTATTTTCAACTGTTTTTTAAAAATGTCTTACTAATTCTAAACAGACTGACATCTTCAAATATAATTACTTTTTAAATTCTCTCACTTATTTACTTTAATTTCTTTTGAGACGAAGTCTTGCTGTGTTACTCAGGCTGGCTCTGAACTTGTGAGCCTGTCTCGACTTCCTGAGTAATGAGGATTAACACTGTGGGCCACAAGCCCAGATTTCTTTTCTATATTTGCTTTGCCGACAACTCTGTGTAGTCATCCACGGTGAGGATTCCCTGTCATTTGCAGTTCGAGGTAGGCCTAGTTCTTGACACTTGGCCTTTAATGACTATCCAATTACAGTTCACCGAGCCAATAGTTAGGTACCTGGAATTTTCAGACCTTTAAAATAAAACCACATACCAATTATAAGCATCACTATTCCCGCAAAAACATTAAGAGATCACATATTATATATAATTATAAGACTAATAGATAGTCTTCTCCGGCTAGCTAGCCTTTATGATGGATGGGCTATGCATAGTAAGCACTTTACATGCCTTATAAAAGGAAGTACACACTGGGTCTGAGTTCTCAGAGCTTCCTGGTTACCATGGCAGCCCAAACATGTCACTGTAATCAAAGCACCAAATGAAATGTTAATGTTAATAAAAATTAGATAAAAGAAACTAAATGCTGGAGAATAAGCACTGCTCTGTTTGCTTTATCATGGGCATGGCTGCATGAGAAGATGCCAGAAGAGATGGAAATAGCATAAAACAATCCCACATAGACAGATATTCAGGGGTGTAATCATTCTGTACTCTAAACCTCGGTACACATGTGTACGAATTCTCTAAGAGGACAAATTTCTGATACTCCTCTCTTTCTGGATTCACAGTCTTCCTCTGACTGGGGTACGCTACTTCATAGCCATTTTCCTGACTCCTATGCTCAGTCGGCTCATCATGGATCCACTACGCACCACACAACAGGGAGACAAGGGTCAATGAGACTCAGTACTTGCTTTCAAGAAATTCACTCTATTGCAAGTGTCAGCAAACTATTTTCTGTAAGGCCCACAAGCAAATAATCGTTTTTGTATTTTTCCAATAACTGGAATAATACATGAAGAATATTTGTGACAGTGAAAGTCAACTTTTAGTGTCCACACAATTTTACTGGGATTCAGCTACACTCAACTGTCTATATACTGCCATGGCTGCCACTCTCACACTCAATCAACTGGGATTTTTTACAGCAGAGTTGGGTATCTGTAATGGGCTGTACGGTCCACACAGACTGACATATTTATTGTCTGGTTACTTACAGAAAAAGTTTGCAAACCCCCAACACACTAAAAAGACTTAAATGTAAGAACTGTGTTGTTATAATGTACATGAAACACTAAGAGATGTGTAAGGGACTCTGGGAGCCCAGGACATGAGCTTTGAGGCCAGATGGGCAGGCAGGAAAGGGCACTGGACATTTCATTTAAACACTCTTCAGCTTAAAGGCTCAGAAGGAGCTAAGATACATAAGGGGACAGGGTAAGAAGTAAATGTATTGAAGACATGAAGATGTGCCTGAGTAGCCAGAAGTATAGCACAGATAGTAACGGCTTAGTGGTGGGACATGTGTTACCGTGTTTTTAAGAGAAAAGATGTTAAAGTACGAGTTGTTTTTTGTGGACCAAAACCTCAGTATTTACGCTTCACTGCAGTGCTGGCACTTGGTGATGAGTGGGTTTCGGGTTGCAGTTTGGGCTCTCATCTCTAAAAGGCTCGCCATCACTGGCTTTGTAGGTTCAGGTATTAGGCTTAACAGTCAGCTTTTCTACTTAACTAGTATCTGTGTAATTTCTGTAAACCCAACTGCCTCACTTTATACATCCACATATAGATACACATACACTTGCAAAGTTGACATGAGGATTTATATAACATATATGAAGCATGTTTGGCATAGTGAGGTTGCATGACAATGATTCAGTTACCTGCGGTTACCATTAGCCTTGTGGGAGGCAAGCAGCAGATCAGTAAGCGTTTCACACATCATGCCAATGTGCCAAGACTGGACTGATACGAGACGGACGTCAGACTGACCCGTGACTGCCTCTTGGAGGACAGCTGTGACGGAAGACTGCCATGATGAGGACTTGAAAAAGAGCATGGCCGTGGGGAGAGCAGGAACCAGCATCTTCTGTGCCCCTAACATAATGAGCTTCGTCCAAGGCACAGACTGTAGCCTTCTGCATTCATTCTGCCTTCAAATAAAACTACCGAGTGCAATTCTGACATTTCTCTAAGCTCCACATCTGCAATGCCACTTGATTGTACTCTTTAATTTTTCATTTGCATAGCTTTAATGGAATCACATGGATTCAACAGAATCACAAACACAAACTCAAACACATTTCCATAAAGATCAGGTACCTCTCCATAGTCCTTCATTTTCTATTCAACACACTACTTTTTCTCTATGACCTAAGTCAAAAATCGTAAGTTGGCTTTGATGTTTTTCTCTACTAATTGGCCAGCTCTGCTCAACTCATCACCAACCCCTGAGAACTTGAATTTCATGGTACCTCTCAAATCTAGCCTTCCTCCTACACTGTGTGCCTGTACTACTATGGAATCACAGCACAATTACTGAATTAAAAGTATTTACTGTTCTCCTCACTTGTCAATGAGGTCTAAAAAGTCCAATTCTTTAAAAGTTACATTGCTCAAAGGCTATGCCTAATGTAGCTGCATCAGTATTTCTAATCTTATTCTTTACCTTATTTCTATTTCCTGGTCACAGCTGTCACTGTCGTATGAACACATCAAACTCTCTATAGGAGATGACAGACTTGGCCAGTTTCTGACTTTGAGGCTAGAGATAAAATACTTGGTATGCAGAGTCTTGGGTCAACAGCAGTGAATGAGAACAATTTCTGTGCCAACGTTGCCAAGAGGACTTAAAAAGACAACCTACAACAGAGTTACAGCATCCCAAGGAAAGAGATTCACGCCACTTCTCCCGTGTCTGCACCTATTGATGAGGCTCGTCCCTGACTCAGTAGCTCACAAATGAAGCGTCAACTTTTGACTTAATGTGATCATCTTTGCACTTCAATCCCCCAGCACTTGCTGGAACTTATAGGAAGAAATACATAGTTGTTCTTATGTGAATTTAAAATAATACCCCCGAAGCAAACTCAGGTCAAGACTTAGGCAATCTGAAAGATAGCAGATCAAGTGAACCAATCTGTTTATGACTTAAAAACATTGCATTGCCACCCTCATTAGGAAATAAAAATGCAGGGTCACCTATTATTTGATTCAGTATTTCTAAAAAACAACTTCGTTGAGGTAAAATTCACTAAAATAGCTTACGTAAATTTACAATGATGCTGAACATATTTATCCCCTCCAAAAGTTTCAGGGTACCCACCCCACTGAGTCCCTTACTCTTGTCCTCACTGTCATTAAACTGTTTTGTGTCTCTATAGATTACTTACATTTTCCAGTTTTATAAGTCAGAATCGTATGTATACAACTTTGGCCTAGTTCTTTTCTTACTCAGCCTAACTTTGATAGTCATTATACTGCAGACTATATTGATAATTTATTTCTTTTTGGCTGCATAATATGCAATTAAACAGCAGTATTACAATTTGTATATGTGGAATATTTGGTTTTTGCAAGAATAGTTGCAATAGGTTTTGACTGTTATGAAAAACGCTGCAAAAAAAT